GTTTAATGCGTTGGAAAATAGACTCATAGATCTTTAATTTGATGGGTGGAACACCCCATAACTCTAAGTATATTGGGAGAAAATTGCAGTTACATTTGACCCAAAGTTTCAGTAAAACTTATGAATGTAACTTGTGATGACTTTCATCGACTTTTGTTCCACAACTCGCTTGACTTCAAAACATAACACACGGATATCATACGACTAATATAAATCATAACATAATCTCCTTATCATGTTAATCACCCTAGTCTCACCCCAAAGGTACATGTTATAACATTTTCAACTTGTCGACTTTCGACGAAATATTGTTTTATTTAATTGCTTTAGCTTCTGAACTGTCCAACCCTCTTTGTACTTGTTGTTCATGATCTTCAATATTTGTAACCTCCGAGGTAACATGATTAACTTACTTTATATAATTTTAAATATTATCTCATTTTTGGTCCTACATTAGTTTGCTTACGACGCATTTTTACGTACGAAAATATAGGGTGTAACAAAACCGAACCAAAAAATCGTACCAAACCAAACCGATTAAAAAACCCGACTAGGTTTGATATTGAGTAGAAAAATTCGAACCAAACCGACATATAAATATATAATTTTTATATATATACTTTTAAGATTTTAGATAGAATTTTCTTTAAAAAATATCTAGAAATATTTGGGATTATCTTGCGGGATATAATATGTAATAGTATATGAAGTGCTCCATATTTATTAATCTTAAATAATGGGTTGTATGATCACTTTCTCATCAAGTGTTAATGAAATGCGTCAACCTCTTTGTTCTTCCACATTAAATTCTTATATCTTTTTCGAATGTGGAGTGATTGTTATTATTTAGGTATCATATTGATTTTTATGTTTAATTACTAAATTCGGTTCACCTTGAAAGTGTACATCAACGAACAATTATTGTCAGACGACTAAAAAAATAACTATTATGTGTTACTTAGAAAATTTTTCCATAAGAATATTTTAATAGATAGTATATTTGTCAATTTTTTATATTTTTACTAAACATATATTTACTTATAAAAAATTTGACAAAGTAAGATTGAAATAATATTTAAGTAACAAAAATCCCGAAAAACCAAACAAAACCGAACCAATCCAAACCGATATAGTTGGTTTGGTTTGGTTTTGATAAAAACGAACCAACCCGGTCCATATACACCCCTATCCACAACTTCCAACTAGGGTTGATACACCAATAGGCATTGCAGTCTGAGTCCATTGCAAATGAGCCATAGGTTTCCTAGTACCAAATATAAGCGCGAAAATTTCATAAATAGTCATTTTTAAGCCTGGTCAATCAAATTTAGCCATATAATCAAAAGTCAACCTTATTTAGCCACTAAATTAGAAAGTGTTATTGATTAAATTACCCTTACTCTATTTATAAATTTACGCAACACGACCTCACACTCTATTTCAGCAGAATCTTGCGGCGTAATCTACAGATTGAAGTAAACTCTCAATTATTCTTCTGATTCTTCGAATTTTCTGGTTTGATCTCAATGCTTTAATATGTGCTAATCTCGAATTTTCTCAATGCGTTAATCTTTGCTTAATTGTATAATATATCTTTTTGTTTGTAAAACTCAAAAAATTCCAGTAGATTATACTGGAAGTATCTGTGATTCAAACCAGAAGAAACACATCTAAATTTTTAAGGTTTCCCTATTGTTGTGAATAAAATGCTAAACTTTTATGATTACATATGTGAAAGATACAAACTGTGCAACATATAATGCTGGGGGGATCTTTAATTCAAAATCAGAAAAATAATACATCAAATGGTGCAAAAGGATAACCCTAGTATAATATGCTGGACTTTTCTTAGATATCAAAAACTCAGAATCTTCCAGCTTATTATACTGAAAATATCCGTGATTCAAATAATAGACTGGAGCTTTCTGAATTGATATATAAAACTCATAAAATTCCTAATATCTAATTATTTGTGTACATTAAATGCAGGATGCATACAAATTTCTTGATTATTGCTTTCGATGGCAAATGGACACCAGATTACAACTATTTAGATCATAAAATAAAGTTTCTGCTTATAAATGACGGGACTTCATTTGACGAATTCATGAATAAGAATTTTCAAGTTAAGGAGTTCGACATGAACAAGTTTGAAGTAACAATATGGCTTAATATCAATCTAGGTACTGGCAAGGGAATACATGTGACAAAAGTTGAAGAACTTACTTCATGTATGATGCTTTTAAGAAATGATCCATACTACAAAGGTTCCAAATTTGTTGTTGATATATCAGAAATACTTTCTAAAAACTTTATTAGAGATCAACAACAAGAAGGTAATGCAATAATGGAGATTGACAATCAACAATTATTGAAGGGAACCACATATGTTCCAGAAGAGCAACTGATGTTGATGTTTAAATACTAGAAGAGCAAGACATTCCGATTTATGAAATTACAATTGAAAATGAGAGTGTAATTCCTTTAGAAGATCAACACTTTAAAACACTAGACACAATTGAAGGGAGAAAGAGGAAAGCAAAAGGAAAGGCAAAAGAATTCCCATCAATAATACTAAAGGAAAATACATCATTGGATGATGTAAAACCGGGGTCTGTTTTTCAAGACAAAAATGCTATGATTAGATGTTTTTGCTTAGCAGCAATAAAGGAACACTTTGAGTTCTATGTTAAAAGATCAAGTAATACAAGATACTCTTTGGTATGTACTGATAAAAAGTGTGGTTGGACTGTTCGATGTTCAAGAATTAAGGAATCAACACTTTTTAAAATAGTTAAATTTCAGAGAACACATGAATGCTCGGTTGACATTAGAAAGTCACATCAAAGACAAGCAACTTCAAATGTGATTAGAGATTACATGATTGACAACTTAAGAGATATAGCTACTGAAGTAAAGCCTAAGTTTGTCATTTCAGAAATGAAAAAGCACATGGAATAGATGCTGGTTATGGAAAAGTATGGCGTGCTATTCAAAAAGGGATATCTTTATTAAGAGGAACAACATAAGAAAATTATGAGCAGCTGCCATCATATTTGTATATGATCGAACAAAACAATCCAGGATCATATACTAATATTAAGAGAGATGCAAAAAACATGTAAATTTCTTGTGTTTGTGGCCACACATCTGCTAATATCCTTTAGTATTCAGCTTGTCATATCGTAAAACTAAATTTTATTTACTTTTCAATGTAACAGGTTTGTTTATATGTTTTTATGTATGAGGCGTCACTTTCTGGGTGAAAGTATTGTAGACCACTTATTGTTGTTGATGGAACATTTCTAAAAAATAAATATAGACGTGTTCTATTAGTGGCAGTTACAAAGGATGCAAATAACCAGATTTTCCCTATGGCATTTGGGGTAGCGGATTCAGAGAATAACGAATCATATGAATGGTACTTCAGAGAATTAAGAAAAGCAATTGGCATTCGTAAAGATTTAATATTTTTGTCAGATCGATACAAGGCCATTGCAAATGGAATTGCAAATGTTTTCCCTGAGTGCTACCATGGTATTTGCATATATCATTTAAAGAAGAATCTAAAGCAAAAAGAGTGAGAAACAATATAATAAACCTATTTCAAAGTTCTGCAAGAGTATACATTCAATCAGAATCTGATGACCTTATGTCCCAAATAGCTGTTGTTGATAAGAAAACATTCGACTATTTGATGGAGGAACCACCAGGAAGATGGGCTCGTTCACATTGTCCAAGACGACGATATGATATGCTAACAAAAAATATTGTTGAGTCAATGAATAATGTTTTGAGACGTGCAAGAGAATTGCCACTTTTAATAATGATGGATTTTATACAAGAAAAATTACAAATCTGGTTCTATGACAGAAGGACATCAACAGAAGGAATATTCCGTGAATTATCAAATTGGGTAGAAGCAACATTAGAAGACAAAATTAAACCAGCTTTTACATTTAGAGTATTGCCCATTGATCGACTCAAATTCAAAGTCAAATAAAGGGGGTGTAGAATTTATTGTTGATCTAGACAAAAGAACATGTGATTGTTCTGAATTTCAGCTAGATGAGATAACCTGTGAACATGCAATTGCTGCAATTGACAATATATATGTCACGACCCAATTTCATCATAGGCCGTGATGGCGCCCAACACCATTGTTAGGCAAGCCAACACTAATCAAACTAAGGGTTTCCCTTTTAAATAGGTTTCTAAGTGGATAACATTTCCTCATTTGTTAAAAAATAGATTTTGAAATTTGCAAATGTGACATAATTAAACGGAAGCAAATGAGTACAAATCGTAATCATGTAAATAAATCAAAAATCATAAGTCTACTAGTGTGTGTGCCAAGACTGGTGTCACAAGTATGTGAGAAATCTAGTAGAATATACAAAAGAACACTAGCCTACTGTCTGAAAGGAAATAGACAGAAAATAAATCATAAGGGAGACTCTAGCTGCTGCAGAATGGCTCGGAAGGCAGCTCACTGTGAAGTCTCGAGATGAGGATCAAATCTGCGCAACAGACTGGTAACCAAATGCACCTGCCTCAGATCCTGCACAATCAAGTGCAGAAGTGTAACGTGAGTACATAAATAACATATACCCAATAAGTATCCAGTCTAACCTCGAAGAAGTAGTGACGAGGGGTCGACTTTGACACTTACTATGGGCCAACAATGATATATCAAATATATACTAAGCATGAATTTCATGAACAATACTGAAAGCTCAATAACAGGAAATAGTAAATTCTTCTTCTGCAAGTATTAAATTCCAAGCTTAGTTTCATTATTTAACAGTTTGTAATTCAAGGCATTTTAAGCAATGTAAATCATGAATAGTTCCAAAGATTTTCAAGCACATATTATGCCGAGGTCGTACGACCCGATACAACATAATATTTAAACTGTGCACTGCCGAGGGTCGAACGACACGAACCATAGATGCATCTAGCTATTAAATAAAGTTCACTGCCTCAAGCTGCGGTCATAGGGCCGCACTTGCGCCCTCGCTTCTGCGGACAAGAGTCCGCTTTTGCGGAACTCCCCTGGGCCGGCTGGCATCGCTTCTGCGGATGGGTTTTCGCTCCTGCGGAGGATAGGCCGCACCTACGAAACCTGGGCTACCCTTCCTTGGCCGCTTCTGCGAGGCTTGGCTCGCACCTGTGGCTGGCCAAGCGCAGGTGAGATTATGACAGACCTGATGCTTCAGTTGTTGCTCCATACTCTTACCTTGGTCTGATCCTCGTCCGATTGTCATTCGGGGCCCCCGAGCCCCCGCCTGAACGGGTTTAGATTCATACATGGAGTGCTGAATAAATGTGGATATCTGCTCTGCATGTCCTCTTCGGATTCCCAGGTCGCCTTCTCGACTGGTTGGCCCCTCCACTGAACCTTTACCGCAGAAATCCTCTTGGATCTTAACTGGCGATCTTGCCTATCAACAATGGCAACTGGATCCTCTACATAACCCAGACTCTCATCTAACTGAATCGTGCTGAAGTCTAACACATGCGACAAGTCGGGATGATACCTCTGAAGCATCGACACGTGGAAAATCGGGTGAACTCCCAATAGATTAGGAGGCAAAGAAAGCTCATAAGCAACCTCCCCAACTCGCCTCAACACCTCAAATGGGCCTATAAACCTTGGGCTCAACTTGCCCTTCTTTTCGAATATCATAATCCCCTTCATCGTTGAGACTTTTAAGCGAACCTTCTCGCCTACCAAAAATGATAAATCACGCGCCTTCTGATCCGCGTAACTCTTCTATCGGGACTGAGCTGTGCGAAGCCGCTCCTGAACCAACTTTACCTTTTCCAAGGCATCCTTCACCAATACAGTTCCATACAACTTAGCCTCGCCGGGCTCAAACCACCCAATGGGAGAACAACATCGCCGACCATACAAGGCCTCGAATGGAGCCATATCCATGCTGGACTAATAGTTGTTGTTGTAAGCAAACTCGGCCAAAGGCAAGAATCGATCCCACTGCCCTCCAAAGTCAATCACACATGCTATGAGCATGTCCTCCAATATCTGAACTCTCTGCTCCGACTGACCGTCGGTCTGCGGATGAAATGCTGTACTGAGCTCTACGCGGGTCCCCAACTCACTCTGTACTGCTCTCCAGAAATGTGATGTAAACTGAGGACCTCTGTCTGAAATGATGGAAACGGGCATACCATGCAGCCAAACTATCTCCTGGATAGAAATCTGGGACAATCTCTCTGAGGTATATATAGTCATCACAGGAATAAAGCGTGCCGACTTGGTCAATCTGTCTACAATGACCCAAACTACATCAAACCTCCGCAAAGTTCGCGGCAACCCAACCAAGAAGTCCATAGTGATGTGCTCCCACTTCCACTCGGGTATAGTCATCTGCTGGAGTAGGCCTCCTGGCCTCTGGTGCTCATACTTAACTTGCTGGCAATTTAAGCATCTAATTACATACTCAACTATGTCTTTCTTCATCCCCCGCCACCAAAAATGCTACTTCAGGTTGCGATACATCTTCGTAGCACCTGGGTGAATGGAATATCGAGAATTGTGCGCCTCCTCTAGAATCCTCTCCCACACGTCATCCACATTAGGAACACATAGATGACCCTGAAGTCGCAGAACATCATCCTCGCCAATAGAAACCTCCTTGGCACCACCCTGTAGTACCGTCTCTCTGAGAACCGCCAAGTGCGTATCATCAAACTGTCGAGCCTTGATCTGCTCAAATAGTGAAGACTGGGCAACAACACATGCAAGAACTCGGCTAGGCTCTGAAATATCCAACCTCACAAGTCTGTTAGCCAAGGAATAAATGTCCAAGGCTAGTAGTCTCTCCTCTGCTGAAATGAATGCCAAGCTACCCATACTCTGTCTTTATGCTCAAGGCATTCGTGACCACATTCGCTTTGCCCGGATGATAAAGAATAGTGATGTCATAGTCCTTCAGTAACTCAAGCCATCTGCGCTGCCTCAAATTGAGACCCATTTGCTTGAACAAGTGCTGCAAACTGCGGTGATCAGTGTAAACCTCACAAGGCACCCCATATAGATAATGCCTCTAGATCTTAAGAGCATGAACAATCGCGGCAACTCCAAATCGTGCACAGGATAATTTTTCTCATGGGGCTTCAGCTGATGTGAAGCATATGCAATAACTCGCCCCTCTTGCATCAATACACAACCCAAGCCAACACGTGAAGTGTCCCAATACACAATATACATCCCCGAACTGAAAGGCAACACTAGAACTAATGTTTTAGTCAAGGCCGTCTTGAGCTTATGAAAGCTCGCCTCACAATCATCGGACCAACGGAACGGAGTACCCTTCTGGGTCAATCTAGTCAAAGGTGCTGCAATGGATAAAAAACCCTCCACAGACCGGCGATAATAACCTACTAACCCTAGAAAACTCCTGATCGCAACCGCTGAAATGAGACGAGGCCAACTCTGAACTGCCTCAATCTTCTTGGGGTCCACCTTAATACCCTCGTCTGATACAACATGCCCCAAGAATGCCACAGAATCTAACCAAAACTCACACTTGGAGAACTTAGCATACAACTTCTGTTCCCGCAAAGTCTGGAGCACTACTCTCAAATGCTGCTCGTGCTCCCCAGGCTACGTGAGTAGATCAAGATGTCATCAATGAAGACAATGACGAACGAATCAATATAAGGCCTGAACACCCTATTCATTAAATCCATAAACACCGTTGGGGCATTGGTCAAGCCGAAGGACATCACTAGAAACTTATAATGGCCATATCTAGTACGGAAAGCAGTCTTCGGAATGTCTGAGTCCCGAATCTTTAACTGATGATACCCTGGCCTCAAGTCGATCTTAGATAACACCCTAGCACCCTGAAACTGGTCAAACAAATTATCAATACGCGGTAACGGGTACTTGTTCTTAATGGTGACTTTGTTCAACTGGCGGTAATCAATGCATATTCACATAGTCCCATCTTTCTTCTTCACAAATAATACTGGTGTACTCCAAGGTGATACACTCGGCCTGACGAACCCCTTTGCTAACAACTCCTAAATCTGTTCCTTCAACTCTTTCAATTCTTTAGGAGCCATTCGGTACGGTGGGATAGATATAGGCTGAGTGCCTGGAGCCAAGTCAATACAAAAATTAATATTACGATCTGGTGGCATAACTGGAAGGTCAGAAGGAAACACATCGACGAACTTCCGGACTACTGGCACTGAATCAATCGTTAGAGACTCTGTGGTGGTATCCCGAACATAGGCTAGATAAGCCAAACACTCCTTCTCGACTATATGTCGAGCCTTCAGAAAAAAGATAACCCGACTAGATGTACTGATAGACGAACCCTTCCACTCCAATATCGGCAACTCTGGCATTGTTAAAGTAATAGTCTTGGCATGACAATCAAGAATGGCATGATATGGGGATAGCCAGTCCATGCCCAGGATGACCTCAAAATTGGTCATATCAACCAACAAAAGATCCGCCCTACTCTCATATCCATAAATAACCACACAGGACCGATAGATCTGATCCACAACAATAGAATCGCCCACAGGAGTGAACACATAAACAGGAGTGCCCAAGGACTCACGAGGAATATACAGAAAATGAGCAAACAGGGATGACATATACAAATAGGTAGATCCTGGATCAAATAATACTGAAGCATCCCTACCGCAGACAAAGATAATATATGTGATCACGGCATCTAAGGCCACTGTATCTGGTCTGGCCGGAAAAGCATAAAATCTGGATGGAGCGCCCCCCGGCTGGCCTCCACCTGCCTGACCTCCACCTATAGGACGACTTCTACCCACCTGCCCTCCACCTCTAGGAAGCTGAATGGTTGGTGCGGCTACTGGAGCTGTAATCATGGGTTGCTGGCCCTGCTGCACTGCCTTGCCCCGAAGCCTGGGACAAAATCTCCACACATGACTAAGATCCCCGCACTCAAAACAACCTCTCGGCGCGGTAATCTGCTGCCCTGAAGTCTG